GCTAGGCTAAGTTTATTCAGCAGCTTTTGTTCTCTATTGGGTAGGTTGTCAATTGGTTTAGCTATCAAGAAAGTCCAAGGGTCAGGCTTGATTGGCTTATTTAAGATTTCTGTCATGAGTCTAGCTATGTTATCCCAGTATTGGACAGCTTTTGGACATGTCCACCACATGTGGAGATATGTGCCTTTTTCCCCACAGCCTCTCCAGCATGTATCTGTGGGTGTTTTGCCCATTCTGTATAACTTAACTGGTGTGGTGTACCACCTCATGAGTGTTTTGTAACACTGCTCTTGGTGGATGACACATAAGGAGGACTTGGTCGCAGCCTCCCATATGTCCTGCCACTCCCCACTTTCTAATGTCTGTTGGAGGTCAGTTTCGGTGCGCTCAGCTGCGTATATAGGCGAGTAATGAGGCCGGCACGTGGTCCTTCGGTCATACAAAGTGCTTCGTAGAATGTGGGCCTGGCTCTGGCTGCCTCAGCAATGGTTGGTTTCCTGGCAAAGTCCCGCAATTGAAGATATCTAAAGTGGTCTTTGGTTGTAAGCGGGGCCAGAGTTTTTAGGTCAAAGGTGCGGAACTCATCCGCCTGAAATAGATGGTAGTAGCGTTGAACTCCTTGTCTTCCAGGCCTCTAAAGTCCTTAGGGGTCATACCTGGTGGAAATGTTTTATTGGGCAGATATGGTGTAAGGGGTCAAGTGGGGTGCGTGAGTGCATATTTGTGGGCTGTTAAGTTCCAGATTCTGATGGAGTTTAGGATGGCTGGGCAGGTAGTGCGGAGCTCTGGGCGGTCGGGCCTAGGCACCCAGATCCAAAACTGAGGCAGATCAGTATTCATGAGGAGCGTCTCGAGGTCCACCCATCTGTGGGTGTCCGGTGGGAAATGCCATTCCACTATCTGCGCCAACTGGGCTGCGAGATATAGATATAAATTGGGGAGTCCAAGGCCTCCCCTACTCTTAGGTGTGTATAACGTGTGCCTTGCTACCCTGTGCCTCTTTCCAGCCCATATGAAATTGTCAATCGCTGTTTGCAAAGGTTTAAGATCATTTTTGGTTACCGTCACCGGTAATGCCTGGAAGAGAAACAGAAGACGTGGAAGAACATTCATTTTAATAGTGTGCAGTCTCCCCAACCACGAGATGGGCTTGTCATGCCATTTGTCTAAGTCCTTCCGTAAAGTGCTTATTAACTTCTTGTGATTTTCTGTGTACAGGTCGGTGTGGGTTAGCGTGAGCCTGACCCCCAAGTATTTGGTTGTGTAGTAATCGTTATGTTCGTCATGCGTTGCAGCCATTGGACCTCCGCGTCGGAGACACCCAGCGGCATACCCACTGATTTATCTAAGTTTATTTTATATCCAGTTACCTGTCTATAAGTATCTAAAATGTTGAGGACATGGGGAATTGATTCTCTAGGATCTGTAAGGGTGAGCAATAGGTCGTCCGCATATGCCGAGATTTTAAATTCGTCAGATGCGACCCGTATACCTTTTATCTTGTCGTGTGTTCTAGTTTGATGTTGCAAGGGTTCTAAAGCTAGTATAAACAGCAGGGGGGATAGGGGGCATCCTTGTCGGGTGCCGTTTTTCAGTGCAAAGGGGAGCGGTTTTTCCCCTGGCACCAGCACCTGGGCTATTGGGTTAGTGTAGAGTGCCTGGACCGCCCTAATAAACATGGTAGGAAGCTGCATCTCCTCTAGAAGGGCAAACATGTATGGCCACTGAATTCTGTCAAATGCCTTCTCCGCATCCAGAGAACAGACCAGAGAAGGTGTACGCTTCTTATTAGCCCACCAGATCAGGTCTATGGCCCATCTCATATTTTCGTAAAGTTGTCTGGCTGGGACAAAGCCCACCTGGTCGGCATGTATGAGCTTGGGGAGGATAGGGCTGAGTCTGGTAGCAAGTATCTTGGCATATACGTTTACGTCAAAGTTAAGAAGGGAGATGGGGCGGTAGTTCGTTACATTGGTGGCGTCTCTGTCCGGTTTGGGGATGAGGGCTATGTCTGCCGTTGAGAGGTCAGAGTTTGGCGAGTCGCTGTCAGTCCAGGTCTTGTACATGTTGGCTAGGTCTGGTATTAGGTCTTCTCGAAAGGTTTTATAGTAAGAGGCAACACACAAATACAATAAAACCAAACAAAAATAAAGTTCAAACAACAGAACAAAAACACAGGTGTACTAAATCTGTCGCTCAGATGCAACTTCTATACAATCAACAATACAGTATGTTTTCCTGGTCTTACCAATTGCCGGGAGCTATGGGGGTGGGCATCCACCGCGTTGAGGGAATCACCTCAAACGGGGAGGATACACAGCCGGACAGCACCCCGGCAATGCTCAAGCATAACTGTGTACAATCTCCCTCTATCCACTTGTATATCTAAACAGCCAGTCCAGGCGCTCTCTAAGTGACTTAAGCACACGGCAGCTGCTGACCAGCCTGTCCCCCGGGAGAAGAGGCTGGCCACACAGGCGTGCATACCGGGTCATAACTAACAAACTGTATGCTAAATCCAGGATATTAGGAAAAAGAGAAGTAAAGATGGAAATGCTGTATTAGTGGAACTCTGAATGGCCAAGCTTAATGGAATGCCGTGGAAAAGACAAAAGGGCAGGATAGCAAAATAAAGAGGTACATAATGTGGAAAAGAAAGCTTGGATCAGGAATCTAGACAAAAAATGTAGTCAGGACAAGTCAACAATTACAAGAGCCAAGTAAAAAAAAAAAAAAAAAAAATACATTTGCACATGTCGATTTGGTTAATCTGAAATTCAATAAAATGTAGTTTATTTAATGGGTTTCAGGCGACCGAAAGGAATTAAACCAAAAAATGGCAGTCACACCCACGCCTTTAAAGCGGGATATTCATTCACACAAAACAGCAAAAAATCATTCAGCAGCCCATTTGTTATTTAATATTTTGTCTGTTATTCATTTTCAGATGAAATTAATGAGAAACTATATTTTTGCTCATGTTTCGATTGGGACGGAAACTATTGTATATGGTTAGTAAAGACGAGTCAAATTATGGAAACCATTTCACTGGTAATTTGAAACCTAAAGACTACAAGTAATTTAGTTTAATATACCAGTATTTCCTATTTGCCCAACGGTGGTGATCACTTCTCCTTCCTGGTTTTGTATGAGTGCTTTTAAAATCTAAAAATGTGGTTTTTAACCTTTTTTCCATAAAAATATAAAATGAACTCCTCCTTTGTTTGATGTCCAAACACAATTCATTAAATAGCTATTGCTTTGTACAGCTTTTCAAAAAACCTAAACAATGTAAACTTTGCATTTATATCCTTGACTCAATTACAATTTGCCAAATATCTAAGCCAAGATGCTTTAAATTCCATTTATAGTAGGTTAACTAGGCTAAGAAACATGATAGGTTCAGTTCCCTGGAAGTCACTAGAGGTTGCAGAATTCCATTATCTATCTAAAAATAACAGCACAGGTGCTCAGTGTTTGCAAAGCGGGACATGAAAATAACCGCTGTGCTAGCATAAACATTGATTTACAGAGCTTGCATTAAAGAGTGCTTAGATATAAGAGGATTTCATGCTTTTCAGTTAGTATTACTAACACAATAAACATAAAGCTAATACATAGAGGGTTATGGATAAAGGACATTTGTGGGCCAGCATTCTAAAATCAGAACAATCAACATGAATATTTTATTAATCTGTAACAATTATTGTGCAGTCATGTGTGTTTAATATACCCAAAGCTTCTATTTCCTCACGTGGATGCGAATATTGTTATCATTAATGTTAAACAATTGAACTCCTTAGACAAGAGGCATATGACCTTCAAGATCTATATTCTGCTTATCCCATTTAATCTGTATTTGTGAGACCTGTTTTATGATTCAAAAAGGCTTTATTCAAACATAAGCATTTCAGGGTTTGCCCTGATCAATGTACAACAGCATGTATCTATAGATTGAACAAGCAGACAAGATATAACGGACTCGCAGGTCCCAACGTAGAATGTGTGAACATCACTCAAACAATGTTACATATTATACCTATATGGTATTTGATCGTGGTTAACACGTTAGAATATACATATGGGTGACCGGTTTGCAGCTCGAGTAGAGGAGTATTCGTAAGTTTGTACCTTGTGTCTGCTTTTTGTGTTCCTTTAATATTTCCTTATCACCCCTGGGCCTCTTTCTCTTTGAGATGGCAAGGGGTGAGACCTGTTTTATAGTTCATTTAATTTATAGCCCAGATCCTTTTTCTGTTTTCACTACACAAACTGAGGAAAAAATGTGCCAAAGCTTGCTTGCTTCCCAGCCCTCCACTAGCACTCTCAGTCTATCATGGTCACCCATTTTAGACAGAATTGATTCTGATACTGCGAATGTTAAGTTGGTTCACGTTATCAGAAGAGAGCGTGGCCTTTAGGTGTGAGAGATTTAAATGTTCTGTTAGTTCCTTCACAGACAATTTAACAAAAACTGTTACCCAAATCGATCAGGATGGTAGAGAATTGGGCTTTAGTCCAACCGTCACAGGTTTGTAGCATTTTAGTCCCACTATTTGGCTCACCAGGAAACTGTACCCAATATCCGTAGCACAAGGACATCATTAGAAGCGCTCACTGTTTCTAACCAAATTGTACCAACAATTTTGGCTATGAGGTTTCCAAGAACACAGACTGATAATGAAATCAATATAATAAAATTAGTGTAAAGATTTTATCTCTCAACACGAGAGGTCTTAATACCCCCCCATCCCCCCCATAAAAAAACAACTCTTTTTGAAAGATGCCAAAAATCAATCTTCAGATGTGGTTTGCATTCAGGAAACCCACTTTAAAAAACAAAAGATTCCTAACATGATGAATAAAATATACACTACACAATTCCATTCTACTTTTCACAAAAAGTATTTATCCTCTTTAATAAAAATTCATCTTGTATAACTGAAAAAATCCTAAAAGATAAAAATGGAAGATACTTGATACGAATTGGAAGAATAAATGCAATTGATTACACTATAATCAATGTTTATTTTCCAAATTCTGGACAAGTTAAGTATCTGCAATTCATTCTAGACAAACTCACAAAACTAAAAAAAGGCAAAATTATAATCTGTGGAGACACTAACTTTGTCCTTTAGATACCACCAGGGAACAACTCTGTTATTCGGAAACAAATGCTATCTACCTCAGGGACTGCATTGGCCTGCTCTAAACTGATTCATTCTTACGGGTTGTTTGACTCATGGAGATTGACACATTCTGGAGAAAAAGACTATACCTATTCTACGGTCCACAACATGTATTCAAGAATAGATAGATTTATATTGAATGAATCAGCTTTGGACTCCGTTATTAAATCAGAAATATTACCTATTGATTGGTCTGACCATGCACTGATTATATTACACCTAAAAGAAACATACTCTGACACACCCACAAGGTCATGGAAGTTAGGCGATCACTTACTACATGATCCAGAAAATATCCAGCTAGCAGAACTAGCAAGTAAAAACTATTTTGAAACTAACGCCACTCCTGAACCTTCATGTGAAACCATATGGTACGCCCATAAGGCAAACACAAGAGGCCACTTCCTACAAAAGGCATCCTATTTAAAAAAAGAAAAATTCTAACCATTTGCTCTCGCTAGAAAAGGAACACTATAACTTACAACAAGCCAACAAATTCAGCCCATCTAAAAGTTTAGCATTAATGTTGACAGAAATTAAAGGGAAAATTTAAATAATCAGACTCCAACATACTGCCCTAATGCTTAGAAGGATTAAACAACTATTCTATGCAAAAGGCAATAAGGCATCATCCATGCTAGCCTCTAAGCTCAGACATTTAACCAGCCACAATAGGACAGAATACAAAATACGAAAAAGTAGAAAAAATATTTCACCCTAAACAAATCAGCAACATATTCGCCAAATATTACCAATCACTATACAACTTAAACAATTATTCAAACACCTGACAACCTTCCACAGTTAAAATAAGAAAATTTTTAGATAAACTCAACAACTTAATAAAGATATAGACCCATCTGAAATCATCAAAATTATAAAAAAATCCCCAACAGGAAAAGCCCCAGTCCCAGATGGGTTTACCATGTTCTAGTACAAAATAATGTATTAATACTTTAATCCCATATCTAACCAAATTATTTAATTTCTATAAAAACAATAGTATAATGTCTTCAGAAGCCACACAGGCTAGAATAATAACCATACCAAAACCAGGTAAAGATCCAGATATATGCCAAAATCTCAGGCCTCTTTCGCTATTTAATACTGATACAAAAATGTATGTGAAGGTGTTAGTCAACAGATTGATAGATATAGCTGCTAAATTGATTAATGAAGACCAGGTAGGGTTTGTTGCAGGCAGACAGGCTTCCGACAACACGAGGCGTTTTATAAACCTCATACATCACATTAACAGTGTATGGACGCATTCTCTGCTCCTCTCGTTGGATGCAGAGAAGGCGTTCGACAGAATACACTGGGTGTATCTTAGAGAGGTCTTGACGACTATGGAATTCCCTGCTAAATTCATAGATGCTATATTTGTTTTATATAACAAGCCTTCGGCCAAAGTCTCAGCCTCTGGTTACACCTCAGATAACTTCAACTTAACAAATGGTACAAGACAGGGATGCCCCTATCATCAATTCTATTCATCCTAGCAATGGAACCCTAAGCTATTGCTATTAGAACCAATAAGGACATCAAAGATATTGAGTTAGACAGTCAAACCCATAAAGTCGGTCTCTTTGCTGATGATGTTATTCTGGCTGTTAGTGAACCCACCACTTCATTGAAACACCTAGAAAACATTCTAATTGAATTCAGTGCTATCTCATACTACAAACTAAACAAAAATACAACGCAAGCCCTTCCAATCAATATCCCACATGTAACATTAGCTAATTTAAAAACAAAACATGATTATGACTGGAGAGAGCAATACATATCGTTCCTAGGTATAAAACTAATCAAAAATACTAATCATATGGTACAACTAAACTTTGATGAAAAATGGCCACAGCTTAGAGCAGAACTGCAGAGATGGGGAAAATTTGAATTCTCCTGGCTAGGTAGAGTAACTGTGTTTAAAATTAACATTTTTCCAAAATTACTGTACTTGATACGCACTATGCCACTTTATGTGCCTAACTCCTTCTTCAAAAAAGTCCACTCAGACATGATCAAACATATTTGGCAAAACCAAAAAAGCAGAAATAAAGAAAAGATGAAGCCTTAGGGGTCAAGCAAAGCTTGATCCCGAAGTCAACATATAAATGGACTATATGGGTATAAAGGGTCCTAAACCCTAAATAGTACAAACACGAGAAAGGTTGCTAAGATGGTGAAAGAGTGAAGGGCGACCTGCCTTTCCTCTAACACTCCCCCTAGGTATACCCACAGAAGTGAAAATAACTACTAGAGTATGAATAGAGTAAAACTTAAAAACTTATGTTTATTGAATTCTATTTAAAAATCTCTTTAAGGACAAAAATTTATGAAATAGGTGAAACGCACAGTGTTGGTGAATTTAAAAAGGAAAGGTTCGATGCAGTCTAGACAGTCTCTTGTATATGTATATGTAACTAACTGTAAGTGGTTACTAATAAATTGATTTATATAATAAAATACGGTAATCTCTTGTATATAGAAGTGTAACTACCTGTAAGTTGTTACTAATGAATTGACTTCTACAACAGACACAATAGTCAAGAATATATTTAAGAGATAAAGGTCAAAAGCTAGTAAATAAGTTGCACTTAGTTGGATAGTATCTGATAGGAGCTCAAATTGATAAAGCCTCTATATATCCACTAGTAATAGATGGGGCTATGTTCAAATACTCTCTACCTTCCCTGTTAATATGGAACTATATTCAGGTAATCTCTCTCTAATAGTGCTATTATCAATACTAGTATAAATTTAGCTTACATCAAATAAATGCAAATACGACTAATAGTGGTAAGAGGCTAAACTTGCTTGTTGCTTATTAATGGCAAAAAGTGCCAATTAGCAAGCAGGTTTATTAGGGTGACTGTAGCTAACATCCGTGTAGAAATGGAATACAGTTATAAGTAATATAATGCCATGAATATTCATAGGAGTTAATGCACACAGTAACCCAACATATAACCTTAAAATAAAAACCTCAGCATATAACAGACACACCATCAAAGTCTAATTATGTGTGTGTATATATATATATATATATATATATATATATATATATATATATATATATATATATAGGCAGGCTAGATATATTGCACTGCCTTAAGTAGTATCAAACCTATGATAGTACCAAATATAAGGTCTTAGGGAAGATTAGAAAAAATATATATTAGAAAATAAACAAAGATCCCCTCCCAAGGTCAAATCCCATTAGAAAAGAGTATTTTGATCCTTGAGTAAAAAACAGGGGGTAATGGAGCAATTAAACCCAATCAGTCTATCCAAATAAACACTGCAAAGGCAGCTGCTCAGCATAAATAGACTGCCTAGATCAGTGATGGCGAACCTTTTTGAGCCCGAGTGCCCAAACCGCAATACATGCCAACTTTTTTTCCCTCAAAGTGCCAACATGGCAATTAAACCTGAATACTGAGGTTTACGTTTAGAAAAAACTACTCGTACAGTTAACAACTTTTGTTTTAAAAGAAGAACACAACAGAGAGTTAAATTATACAAATTTTAAATAATGATATAAATTAAGCTTATATTAGTATCTCCAACAAATGCAATACATACACACAGACTGCTGAACACATTCACACACCAACTGCTTAATACATACACACACCGAGACACAGACAGACTGCTAAATACACACACAGTCCGCTAAATACACGCACACTCCTGAGTACGCAGTCTGCTGAATACACGCACGCAGTCTGCTGAATACACACACACACTGCTGAATACATAAAGACTGCTGAACACACACATATACTGCATTGAGGGGTGCAGTGTATGTGTCTGTGTGTAATGTTGTGTGTGGGGTGCTGTGGGGGGGAAAGGGTGCTGTGTGTGTGGGGGGGAAAGGGTGCTGTGTGGGTAGGGGAGGGTGCTGGGGTAGGGGTAGGTGCTAGGGAGTAAGGAGGGTAGGGGTGCTGGGGGTAGGGGAGTGGGGGTGCTGGAGGTAGGGGGTGATGTGGGTAAGAGGGTAGAGGTGCTGTGGGTAGTGGGGGTGCTGGGGGTAGGGTTCTGGGTAGTGGGAGTAGGGGTGCTGGAGGTAGGGGGGTGATGTGGGTAGAGGGGTAGGGGGTGCTGTGGGAGTGGGGGTAGGGGTGCTGTGGGTAGGGGGAGTAGGGGTGCTGTGGGTAGGGGGAGTAGGGGTGCTGTGGGTAGGGGGAGTAGGGGTGCTGTGGGTAGGGGTGCTGTGGGTAAGAGGGGTAGGGGTGCTGTGGGTAGTGGGGGTGCTGGGGTAAGGGTTCTGTGGGTAGGGGTGCTGTGGATAGGGGGATGTGGGTAAGAGGGGTAGGGGTGCTGTGGGTAGTGGGGGTGCTGGGGGTAAGGGTTCTGTGGGTAGGGGTGCTGGGGGTAGTGGGGGTGCTGGGGGTAAGGGTTCTGTGGGTAGGGGTGATAGGTTATTAAATCAGTATCCCCCCCTCCCTTCTTCTAACCTTTGGTGAAGGGGAGGTGGAGGATACAGCCATCCCTGGTGGTCTGGTGGTGGTTTGCAGGACAGGATGACAAGTCCTGCAGCTCTCCCGTCCTCCTGCGCGATGCTGTGTGGAGCGTTGCCATGGTAACGCGCGGCAACGATCCACACAGCTCGCGGGAGGACAGGAGAGCTGTTTCCTCGATCCCTCCTCCCTGCTTCCGGTCCTGCCGACACGGAAGCAGAGTAGACGCCTGCCGTTTCGGGCAGGCAGGCGCCTTCTCTGCAGTGATGGCAAACCTATGGCCGCGTGCCCACAGAGAGGGCCCGGCGTGCCACCTGTGGCACGCGTGCCACAGGTTCGCCATCACTGATATAGACGTTTGATATGGAATTCTATAAATTAAATAAAATTGGAAATGTAGACTTATAAAAGGAAGAATTACTATAATTGTACTTTTTTATTTTTAATTTATATATTTATCTATATATATATATTTTTTTTCTTTCTTTTCTTTTTCTTCTTTAGAGAGGGAGGGATAAAAATTTACTTTATACATATCCTGATTCTTGTAATAAAGGAGAAAAAGAGAAAGGAAATGTTTATTGTAAAAAATAATTCAGTGAAAAGATATAAAAAGCTGTGTTACTGAAGCCGAAAATAAGTTAGATGAGATTGTAAAAGATAGTAATAGAATATCTCGAATTGTGAATGGTATCTCTCTATTTCTGTATATTATTTTTTTTGTTTGTTTGTTTTTTTTTTAATAGTAATTCTTAATATACTAAAAAATAAATCACCAATACACATTTTTTAGACTCTTCTCTAGTGAGAGGCGTGTCCAATGCATATACAATTCAGTACTACTTTAGTAGACAATATATTGCAGCCATTTGTTTTGTGATGACAAATATAGTGCCTGTTATAATCAGCGGGAACACATTGAAACTAGCATAGGGACCAGATTTTGGGTTTTGATCCTGGGGTTAAGAACTGCTGACATCAATAGAAAATCAATACCTCATAATCTCAGCCATGTTACCAGGACATGCCTGAGATTGTGTAAGATTGAACAAAAAAATTTAATAAAGCAGAAAGGAAGATAATTATGTGAAATAATTGAGGATGAAAAGAGATAATGGTCAAAAAAAAATTAAAACAAATTGGTTAGTTCTTATCTGAGGGATATTAGA